CATTATAAAAATATATATTAAGATGAAAGTTATTAGTAGCTTTCAGTAAATGTTTCGTATCAGTAGACACTAAAGGTATGGTTGCATCTACGTCGATAGATATCGAATTAATACGCACGTCTCAAATTTTCGTAAAAAACTGATGTTTCTGTTGACGCTTTCACATAACCATAGTTATTTGAAACGCAGCAGTAACCATAAGAATCCTTGTTGGTTATATGGAAATACGTAATATTGATATGATTTTCATAATACATCAGCTTACCTCACAATGAAATAGGATCATGTATGGGGTAGCGATAAAACAGGGGACGTACACGTTAACCTGTGAAACGGTAAGAGACGGTAGTAGGCTATCTATTAGAGAGGGATTTCTACCTTTGAAAAAGTTACACACCGCATATGCACACTAAGTCAGCAGATGCGTCATAAGTTTTCGCAAAGTATTTGACCAAAGTAGTGAGAGAAACAGTACTTACTACTCTCAACCTACGTAAATAAGTTTGGTGAATTTTATTGTTCATTCTAACAACAAAATCTCCTAGTAAACTCATCGTAACGTTAACGCTACATTAGTTTCCCATTTTGTTTTATCGACACAGTTAAATAAAGCAAGCGTTGTAGCATATATATATACTACAGCAAATCCTCAGGTCTGATGAAAATTAAAACTGTTTTTCATACCTACTTGTTGATTTGATCGGCATATCATTTGATTAATGCATCTTCATTGCAGGCAACTGCAACGAAGGTTTACAGCCTCACGTGAAAGTAACAAATTAGTTTCTTAAGTGGTATCCATTACGCACTGATATCACTAACGATACCATTGTAAACCATTTGTTTCATCTTCGTATATGTCTACTTAATAGTGCGCACCCACAATCCCCCCCAAGGATCAACTACCGACAGTTTTATGGTACTACTCCGAAGTCAGTCAGTGACAAACACCATATGAAAATCAAACGAATCTAACTACCAAATTTCTCAAGAATGATGGTCCTATCTGCTCACTTATATACATAGATCACACTAATTTCTAAAGTTTTTATCAAGGAGATTATAATAGTAATAACTATAATTATAATGAAACAATATATCATACATCACTAACCATACTCAGTAAGTAGAAGAAAAAGATGGTCTCTTAGTTAAGCATCTAAATCGGAAATCGGGAAAGCCACAGATTTAAAAACCGGGTAATATAAAATATTTCTGAACGACGGTAAAATGTTAACTATTTGCAAATAATATTTTCACGATGTACTTCAAACAAATGTTCAGGACTATGAGTACCATGTTGTTTCACTAACCGTACAGTTATTTTACTTCTTCCCTGTTAATATGATTGACATGATAAAGTTTCTTTTCATGCCTACATGTAAGTATACAAGTGAAATGTAATACTACAATTCAAAATAACATGAATTGCAATAAGTATACAACTACGTCATTGTTTATATTGAATTAGGTAAAATATTTCTATTATTATATTTACTGTGGTATGCAAGAAACTTACACAGTTTTCGGGTTTTTAATACCTATACTTTATCACAAACTGTTCAGATTTCTCCTCGACAAGATTTTTAAAGTAAAAAACTATTAAAATGAGATTTTTGGAGAGTTTGTCTCAAGGATATATAGTTACTGTTAGTTATGATCAGAAAACGAAAAACAGATTAACATAAAACTTACAGGTAAACTATGTCGACGTACCACGAAACAACCATTTGATGAAACCGTTTAATAAACAATATTTTCGATTTGTAAGGATAAGTTTTGACCAGTTAGTTTTTTTCTTATTCTCATCTCAACAGTTGACTGAATAAAACACCAAAGACTGCTTTTACAACAGTACTTAAAATCAACAATGAATTAAAATTTTATTCGAATCCAAACTTTGAGTCACCTGATAACTAACAAAAGTAATATTTCTCTTATTTAGATTGTAGGATTATGAAGAAAGGATATTTTCTGCGCTTAGTGTTAACGACTGGATAAGGGAAGATATTATTTAAGGGTTTTGGTATATGAAAAGTAAGCTAAAACCAGTATAAATCTAGCGCTTAAATAGTCAGTCAGGATTTTTACGAACATTTAAGGAAATAACAGTTGATTTTCATCCCAATGAATTGAGGTTTTCTGAATGATAACTTAGGTGGAATTAGACTGACTCACTGTTAAATCAGCGTATAATTCACAACCTACCTAATTCATGTAGCTCGTCCATCGTAACTACCTTTGGGTTCACTGAGTCATCGAGTTGTCTTGAATTTTATATTTCTGTTTAAACGGTTATTTTTTTCATTTCCTTACAATCTATTATCAGGAAGCATACAAGTCTACCGAAATTTGGATTTGAGGTCTCCATAGTAAAACACTTAAAACTATGTTATATTATTTTAAAGAATTCACAACCAACCCTGGATCTAGGTTTATTGTAAAAATGAACTTTATAAATAACCACTAGATCTTTTGTTCTCCTAATACAAATTATTTTCATAATCATCAACAGTAAATGTTTCATGAAAATAGTAGGTTATTTCTCCGCTAGATCCGTTCCAAAAGCAGAACTACTCAAAATTACTTTGCACTTTATAATGACCAGAAGTTTGTTGATCCAACTATCGTCAAAGAATTTAAAACCAAGAGTAATACAATAGTGCTGATGTATTTCACACGAACCAATGAAGTCAACCCAATGGGGGTAATAGCTTAGTGTTCAAAAACAAGGAAGTGCCCCAATATTCAATCCCCAAAAAGAGCAAATAAAAAGTAAACTCTCCAAAGGTTCATTTACATGTGAAGCAATGCTAACACAAAATAGAAACGGAGCTCTGAAACAGGATCTACTATTAAATGTCGAGTTTTTACTGTTCAGTTCTTTTAATTTTGGACAGAAACGACCTTTTTCTTTTGGCTTACAGACTTTTTTAGCAAACCCCACGATAATGCTTGTAATTACACACTGATTATATTTTGGACTTACCAACTAATTATTACTTGCTTCTCACTGTTTATGTTAGGAATTGTGTACACTACTTACCACTTCAAATACAAATCCAACAGTCATTAGGAAAATGATTCTAAATAGCTACTAACGTATTCAGCCTGGTTGATATTTTATTTGTAGGTGCTTGAGCTTCCCTTTGCTGATATTTAGGACTGAAAATGATCAATCTCTTTTGGGATATATTCACTCTGTGTGGATGCCAACATAGTTGCGAGTCTTAGTAATATTTGGGTTATGGCTAGCAACAGAGTACAGAACGTTTGTATTTTTCTTACACAGGACTCTTCAAAAAAACATCACCTGCATCTCACTGTTGATGTTCACATCGAGATTTAAACTCAATACCCATAAGTCCGAATGCTAGTAAATCACACATTAGGTTAGTGATTCATGACAAACGCCAGCATGTTCAATGAAAAGGACTCTACTACTATCCAATATTAAACATACAAAATGAGCTGAAATTTATTTTTCTTTCTTAATCTTTTATTTAAATGTACTTATTGGTGTGGAAAAGTTTGTTATAATGAATCAAAGTTATAATTTCATTGCTTCCCGTTATAACAGTGGGAGAAGATTGTTGTACAGCTTTTTTCATCTTATATTAAAACTAGTATCAATCTACTCTACTCCACAGTATTTTCTGATATTAAAAGGATGAAAAGTGAAGGAAAAATTAGAAATATTGATCAGCCCAAATTATTCTCCTCTTTAGACTAAAAAATTGATTTTAGAAGTGATCGAGGTATTACGAGTTCATAGAAAAATAACTAGTACGATGAGTATGAATAAAGCTATAAAAAAGAACTTAATACCGTAATTTTATGATCATTATAGACAAAACGAGTGACAAATATTTAGTTGTTTAGGTAACAAGCAGTATATTTATATTGACTTTTTAGAATTATATATATATATATAACATTCTTCTGTGAAATCTTTTCTAACTGCCATTGAATTAGCTCTTATTATGAATTCGGTGTTCATCTTGTTATGCCAATGAGGTATGGCAACTACGAACGATGAATCTGTTTTCCTGGTCCTACTTTGTAGCTGACCGATCGACTGATTACAATAATATCAGAAAAGCATGAAATCTATTCGGATAGACAGATTTATATCTTGAACTGTTGGTCAAATTAATTGACTGAATACTATTACATAACCTTGAGTAATTCGGCGGACATGTACGAAATGAATAAAATAACTACCAGTATGATGACGTAACTATAAGGGGACAAGTCATTCAGAATGAAGAAAACGACTAACAACATTTGCTCAAAATCCGAGATTGAGTGAATCTTACATTACGTCACATAAAAAGCGGAGCACAAATAGCTTTGTAAAATAAGTGTTAAACGTGCCAACTAATCGTTTATTCTTATGTAGACTGCATATAACATGTAAATTAACGAAATTTTATTTTTCTTTGATCACAATAAGATCTAACAACCAACGTCCTCACTTAATGATAGGTGAGCTAGTAAAGTAGTAATGACAAAATAGGTAACTGTTTCTACTTATGAGTTCTTCATATGATCGTTGTCATGCAATTCCAACCTCGTAATCCTACGCAGAATTTACAAATAAAGATTTTGTCTGATGATGAATTTTCCATAAAACTATTTATAGCTATGGATAAGATTCAGAAAGAAACTCTCAGTTCGGATATTTTCACGATGGAGAATATCTCCATCAGTAATAATCAGGTATGCAGCCATATTACTACAATATCAAAATCGAAAAGTTGATGAAAAGTCTAGAAAAATTAAGCTTCCTGAAAACACTAAACTCTACCACGTTTCATCAATTCTGATAGGAAATACTTTTGATTGGTAGACTCTCTGCACATTGGGTGAAAAGTGGCTTCAAAATCACAAGTATCCTATTGACTTGTCCTCATAGTACAATTATTTCATTATTTAAATGAACCACTTTATCTTCCACATTAGTCATTCTGTGATTGTGTCGAAGAACTTTGGGTCAATTAACCAATGTATTCTTCATAATCCAACTCGTCAAAAGTCCAAACCGTAATCAACTGATGAAACCAGATTATGACAGGTTTTATACTGCTGGTGAAGCGCCAGTTAAGAAGAAACAGTAATTTAGTACGATTCAATTCATTAGATAACTGTCAGTAAATCCATAACAAAATAAAATAATAGACTATATTTAAGAATTCATATGATTTATTAGTTAAAAAGTTGTCGACCATCATAAGTATTGAGAAATAAAAATACGTACTAAAATCATCTGAAATAAATACAATCCTTTCATGTGACTTTAATTACTTATTGCAAAACAAGATTTATCTTATCATTTAGATAATAATTAAATTAATTTTCTTAAAAGTAAGCAAATAATAATGTTTTCAGAATTACTTTACAGTAAGATACATTTATTTATGACCACTTTGGAAGAGGCACAAAATCCATCCTACAGGTACCAGTCACCAAGTTGTTACGAGTTTATGCATACCATGTTAAGGTAAACATGTACTTATCATGAAGTACTAAACAATAGGGAACGGGATCACCTCTGAAAAGAGGTAATCTGGACTCATCAAGTTAATTTTTCTGTTTTCCTTCTATTTAAAACGGAAGCATAAAGATCTTAACTAGAAAAAAAAACACTACACTACTGGGGTAACAATAGTACTCAAACCTTCCCGTCAGACAATACTGTGTGAAAAAAAGCTTCTGCTGGTTTCGGCTTTATATTATAAGATAGGAGAAAAACCTATTATATGTCTGAATATATGGTAGTACCCTGATCAGTGATACTGTTGGTATTAAACTTGATTTCCATCAAAATACTAACACCATAGTATTTCTTAATTCAATATTGTCACAAATGTCCCCTATGAATGAACTTAATAAAAATCTAGGGGCTTAGACTGTTTTATAAACCTTCTAATAGGAAATACAGGATGTTTCGTATACCGAAACCCATTTAATTATTCATAAACGTTAATAAATTGGCACTCTTGTTTAGACAACCAGTTAGTATGATAATGGCAACTGTATGCTTAATGAATCTATTTTTTATCGTGAAGTATAGTCGTTAAACCTGTAATGTGAATTAATTTTATTTAGACTTACACATCCTCTATACATCGCATGATTTGGGACGAGTATAAATCTCGAATCCTCATCAGTTCGAAGTAACCTAGGAACCTTTTTTAGTTGTAAACTTCGATTTATCACCTAACAATTTACGTGAACTAGTGTGTTATTACTTATCAGCGTGGACAGATTGTTTTTGAAAAAAAGATGTAAATCATTTAAAGAACATTCCTATCATTTGCAAAATGTGCACCACTGTTGGACTTTAAACTAGGGCAGTTATTCAATTGTTTTTGATACATCAAGGTCTTAATGACTACTCAGAAAATCATTGGAATCTTCGAAGTAAACCATCGTATTGAGCAATAACAAACTGATGTTCATTAGTAGCTTCTAACAAGATGAATGTCTTGATAACCCGGTTACAAAAGCTAAGATCTGTTACATTATTGAAACCATAAAGAAAAGAAAATTGTCATTTGCTTATACTGAAAATGAACAGCGAAATTTATTGTTCTCTGATTAGAATATTAATGGGAATTAGTTGAAGTTGTTTTAGGTCACTGATTGCTATAAATTATTCAACAAAAATAGACAATCTCAGCACTCTGGTTTATTTTCTTTCTACAATGATTAAACTTTTATATACGGCTGTGAAGAATCAGTTAACTTGGTTTCACAAATCAAAGAAAACGATGCAAACACACAGGTAATTGATGCATACTAACTGACTAGATATAATGTACGGTCGATACAATATAGAAAACTGAATTGATTATAATTAAAAATCTCCTTTGGGACATCAATGATACAACAGTAAAATGCAAACACGTAGGCTAAGTATACGAAAAACATTTATTCATTATTCATAATATATGTATTTCTAACTGTTCTTGATATCCTTAATTTTTTCAACTAATTTTTACTCAAAAACTAACAAATTTGCTTGAATCAAGAACGCCAGGTATTTCGATTCAGTGCGAATTTTTATAGCCCACATAACTAGTTAATCACCATTTGGATGCAGTCGGATCAGAAAAGTAAAGAACAGTTTACATTATATAAACACATACTTCGTTGACAAACATAATAATGATCTTCACCAGAAAAAAAAAGAACACGTTCATTAAATTCAGCCTTTGATGAATATGGTTAAACAGAGTAGTACTATCGGTACAATTTTTTAATAAGCATATTCTTTTCAACCACTTCTTTCAATAATGTGGATTGGTGAAAATAAACACGGGAAATGGATGGGTGGATAATAAGTGATTAGTTTAAGGCTGTAAAGCAGAGGATAAAAAGGACGTGGATTTGTTAAAAATGTGTTAGTGACGCTCCAACCAGAACTAACATCACAAAGGTATTAGCAATTATAAACGATGATTTACATCAAACTTCATACCATTTCATCGTCTAAACTTTCACTAAGCAGGAAATTCGCAGCTGCATCCTCGTTTTTCTCGCATGCGTAATATGCCTACGAAAAAATAGGTTAAAACAACGTTACCATTTTTTGTGGAACAAATCTTTATAAAAATTGATTACAAAATCTTCAGTACGATTCATTTTTGGAATTTACGTACGTGGCATGTACCCACGTGAAATCTTTTATTTAGCAAAAAATGTATCATTTCTTATTCAGACTTTACCACTTAACTGATAAAGGACAATCTGCTGTTCCCAAATGACGCTTTTGTCATTGTGCTACTGTAAATTGTAAGAAATCACGCTGGGACAAGTTTGTGTTAAATTTTATGTTGTTTGCGATTGACTTATGCTTTGAGAACTTTAAAATATACAGCACAATTGAAAGCTGATTGTCAAAAATTAACTAGACATAAGTGGTCACTCATTACATGAAACCAAATACAATTATGATGTACGAGTTCGTCTTGATAGACCTGCCATACACAACAGATATCACAAAACAATCAACCAAGTTTGCGAATGTTATCTCCCCAAGTTATGTGACCTATTAGGAAGCGATTTTACAGATTCATGAAAACAAACGACCAGCAGCAAACACTGTGGTTTATGATCATACGAAATTATGATTTGGATTTTTAAGAAGTGGAACAAGGTATGGAGTAGTACAGTTAGAGTTCAGTTTACCAACACTAAATCAAATATTACGGTTTCAATACAAAATGTCACATGTACAAAACTAAGGTTAAGAGAAGTTTCGCTATATGTTCTTCAACACTGACCCCATCGAGTTAAAGACTTTCGATGATTCTATGTTAAATTATTCTTATCACTGAATTCTCATTATTCTATACCAACACTTAAATTGAGGTCAATGTGCGAAAAATGCCTGAGCTTAACGGTGAACATGATACAAGAATTGTTCTATTGGGACATCAACATTGATCAATCTTGTTTTAAAAGCTTTTAAAGCTTGCGTCGCAAGCTGACGCTAAGTCGGTAGAAAGATGTTAAGGAACGATATGATAGCATGGTTATTTCATAGTAATTGGGTGTATTTCGATTACCCCCTGCATAGTTTTGTAAACTACGCAATCTGGCGAATAGAATCAGTTAAACAAACAAAATACACAATTAATAAGCTAACAAAAAGTGACTGATGTGAAAATTTCAAAATGTATATGCGTATAACCAAAAGCTTCAGCTTGAATCTCCTTGTCTTTCGTTTTCGGTCGAACCTGACATCCTTTGATCTACTCCCATAGCAAAATAGTACTAGGTACAGCTTCCGAAACTGGATGTGACGTATAGCATTAAAGCAAATTTAGTTCCGTGATTATGTTCTTCACACACCAAATAGCCTTATCACTACTAGAAGTTTTCACTAGGGGATAGAAATCACGGAAATTATAGGAATCAAGTACGGATAACCGTCGAAAAATTCAAACCTACAATCAAAAAAGATTAAGGGTAAATGGCATAACCCCACATAATAAAGTGCCACGAAACGAATCATTGGTACAGAGATAAAGTAAATAAAATTTGCTTAGGCTTGCTTAACTTGGACTATATGGAATGTAAACTTATCTGCAGTAAGCACGTAACAGCTCAAAAACAACTTAAATATATTAACTATTGTAAGTCATACCTCGGTTAAGGCGAAAAGAGTGCTCGAAATAGATTATGGTTAATGAAAATACTGTGAGTTATGTTTGGAAATGACGTACGCTCTATTATTTACTTAGTTTATGTAACCTAACACACTTGGTCAAGTAAACATGCTTACATTTTCGTAATATCGTCAGCCTAGCGTCTAACAAAAAACTGCTTGTTCCATATTTGTGAGGAAAGACAATGCTTCTAATGGTATCGCAAAGAGTAAACGAAGTATTTTAGAAGTTTAATTCACCGGTGTTTATGTTTGGTTCTTAACAATTTTTTATCGGGTTTGTATCATATCAAAACTAGCTGTATGAGTCATTTATACTCAAAAAGATATCTAAATACTGGTTTCTGGCCTTTCATGTAAATATTTTAGTTACTGATCAATGGGAATGACGGCAAGAGTAAATATAGTGTCTATGAGATAAATGATAAAATATTAAAGAACAAACAAGAGATGACAGTGATATTGAAAATATGGATGATCATTGCTTCTTGATTGTCAACAGCATATAAGGAAGTGTCAACTGAAGTACAAATTAAAAAATAGAATAGGGTATCCGGTTTTCAAGTGAGCATTCAGCATTTTGATGCTAAGATTACTATATATTATTTCTACTAAGTGGATTACAGTTAAAAGATGGTCTAACTGAAACAAAATGTGTAGTCGCAGTTCCCTGATCAACGGCTTTAAATTCTAGATAAACCAGTAAATGAGTTTCTGTTCATATAGTTTTTCCTTCATTTAACCGCATTGAAATTCAGTTCCCTTTCCAGGATTTCACTTCTTATTAGTATAGACAAGATTAGGACAATGAGAATACTTTGGATGGTTAAGACTTAGTTGTGGTCCAATATAAGCTAGCCTAAAAACTATCTCAAACCATCCTACCAGTAGCACTGCTTCCAGTGAAGCTTCGTCACATTTTTGCCATTACATGAACGACGGTTTAGTTGGTGGAGCAGTCGATTAGATTCGTCAATCCTTAAAGACTCGAAATTAAATAGACAAACTCTTACCTGATAATTTATACAAAAATGAGCGAAATATGTAATTAAATACTTGGAATAGAAACAGCCTATTATAAAGTTTCGAAAGAAACTAATGACACTGGATACATTTCTTGAAAACTTACTTGGATAACCAACTCCTCCGGGAACCCTAATGCCTTTAGACGGTCCACAGCAGCGCGTTCCTCAGCAGTCATAGTAAGAACAGTTTGACGCTGACCACCGGGTCGGGTAGTACCAGTGATTGGGGTATTAATAAATTCCAGAAATGCTTGTTCGTTTTCTTGAATGAGCTAAATAAGTTACATATTTTAAAATTACAATTATATAAGTATCAACTGTATGCTCATTACTACTAAAAATATTGAATCATTCGAATAGTTAGTTATTTTATCAACAGTGGATATTTGACATTATTGAGAGCATCCCCTTTGATGAAACATGCATATTACACAAGCTGAAAGACTATAAAAAACGATTGGGACGAAAAAACACTTCAGGAGAATAAATGGGTTAGCCAGGATGAGGTGCTAACCAAGTCAGGCCAAAGCATTTCATATCTCGATTTCACTAACACTGATATGAAGATTTAGTACATTTAGCAATACAAGTCTTAGCTGCCAAGACGACCAAGAAGTAAAACGTTTAAAGCATATGTAACACTGCATAATTCATGAGTAACCTCAAAAGTGAACCTGATTAACGGTGATTGTGGCACATACCCATGAGACTTGGAAAAACAATTAATGAATCCAAGATCTAGATATAACGCCAAACCCTGGAAAGTTGTCGGAAAATCCCAGTTGCGAGATTAGTCTGCAACTATTAAATGCTTGCACAATTATTATAAAAACAGATTATAAAAATTCGTGAGAAAATGCTAAAGAAAAACATACTCTAAATAAATCTGCATTATCATTCCCTATTTGCTGGATTAGCTGGGGCAGTAGCTCTGGATTTGCCTGTACTAGGGCTCTCATTTGTTGAAACTGGGGTAAACTTGCGAGTGCAGCGATCGGGTCTTCTGAGCCAAGAGACTCAGAGCCTGGGGTATCAGTATCCCCAGGCCCTTCCGGAGATACACTTTCAATTTCTTCCCTTTGCGGTGGCTGATCAACAATGTCAACATTAGGAATGTTTCCCGACGAAAGGTATTCAAATGCTCTATCTGGGTTGTTGAAGCCTGCTCGCATTGCTTGGATAACCTAAATTTGCCATTATTATTTTACAAGAGACTGACCAGTGATCTCTCGAAACCCATGGACACTAGTTCTTTTACAACCCGCTCAAAGTTCTCTCCGGTAACTAAGGAACTCTCTCCAAAACCCAAAGTATTTGTTGCGCTCGATGGGGCTGTTGTAATTGTAGGTAAGTTAGATTGGGGATTTGAGTCTGGTTTATTGCTCGGCGCTTCATTTGCTTCTGTTACGGGGCTGTTTTTGTCTGTTGTTGGCTTTGTTTCACCAGTAGGATTAATTTGGACTGAAGCGCTAGCTTCTTTCGTTGTATCTTTGGATGGCTTTGAGACAGACATTACTACAACGAAACCAGATTCTGTCACTTTGTAATCTTTTAGCGATTTACTATCTTCCATCACCTTGCCTAAGTAATGTAACAAGCTATAACCGATAATTTACCTGAGTGTATTAGTTTCTGAGTCTTTGCATCGAATTCGCTGCCCCATTTAGCTTCGATCTTCTTTTTAACGTCGCCAACCTACGTACAATATCACACCAACCTGTAAATTACCAGATCATCTTCTTGAAAGTCAAGAACAAATGTCTGCTGCATTAATGTTTTGAAAGTAACTTTCATTGCGTTGAGAAAGAAACGACTCGAGAGTGGAAATCAAAGAGATAGCCACGGCACACTGACTTAAAGCTATAACATTCAACGCAGTGAAAGAAAAATTCAAACAGACAATCTTAAATAATAACTTATCGAAAATTGAGTTATTAATTCCCTCGGCTTAAATCAATTAGTTATATACTTTAAAATGAAGCACTCCACGTAGGATACTGGCTGAAGCGCGGTTTTCAAATGGGTCTTGACATTTTCCTTTGAATCTAGTAAATACAAATTCTGGGGTTTCATTCAACATCTCTGATGCAATCCTGATTTACTTCAGATTACTTTGACTTGCCTTAAACCAAACTTAACAAATCATATTCAAGCCAATAGTCCATAACTGGAGTATCGCAAGAAGCCATATGGGACCCTTTTTGTCCCTCATATTTATCATGACTTCCCAGGAAGCCTCATCTCATCAGTCGCCATCCATGTGGGTGAAATCAAGTTATGGTTTGCTATCAAAAATGATGGGGATTCACTAGAACTTATGTCGTTTGAGGAGTGAACGCGAAACAACGTTTTGAGGTTTAGCTTCAAAAAGTTCAAAACGATGTTATTTTGAACTACCAAAGAAAATCGGGACAACTGTTTCCTCTATTGCTTAAACCCCACTAGAATCGATTTGGAGTGCCACTTATGTGTCGTACTAATGAAATTCGATGACATCAGCAATAATCCGTGAGATGTAACTGAGGCCAAAGCTATTCCTCACCTCGTTCTCAGACAGCTAGATATGCTAGCTCCTGAGTTCCTTTCAACACTTGTCAAGACTTGCACCACCCATAACTCGAATTCCGTAACACCGCTGCATCTCCTCTCCGAATAGAAGGTAGGGAACAAAGTGGATCCTAGGACTGACAAGCCGGACTTCTAAAAATCAACTTTTTCATCACAGGGCCCCTTTGCTAAGTTGTAGACGAATAAGAGATGATCCAGTAACGTCATACAACACAATGAACACTCCAGTCTACCCCGAACCCTATCAGCGTACTTTTTGAGTTAACCGTCGGTAATTAGCACAGTGGATGTTTGGGCGACATAATCGCTTTTCCCATTATGGGTCAATCCTGACTGCGATGCTCTCCAAGTCGATGTGACAATTCTCACAGTTGGTGGCTTCAATAGTTTAGAATGATACATTATGGGCTGAAAGGAGAATAACGCCTTTAAACTGAAAAAGAACCAAAACTTAGGCTTGATGGTGGCTAAAAGGACCTAAAACTTGTAAATTTTCGGGTGGCGAGGCCTCGACAGAGAATGATGCCGAAGCCACTCTGGGTGCAGCACGAAGCTATTTAAATGGACTTCAGATCTGTTATACAGATGCCCGAAGCTTGCACAACAAGTGATCGGAGCTGGGTCTATAGCTAGACTCTGCCAAACCGGATGTAATCGCAGTCACAGAAACTCGGTTGATTCAGTCTATATGCAGTATGGAATTCGATTTTGAAGGTTTCACGTCAGTGAGAGCTGACAGAATCCAGAAGCGTAAAGGAGGTGTAGCGGTAAATAAATCCCCAAAATAAATAGTTCCGTAGGTCTTCGACATTGGATGCTGACCACACTAGTTTTAATGGACTCACCTAGCTGAAGGCGCTCGGTCACGCATCCGCACCAGATCAAGAGTGAGAACGACGTGCTCAACAACCCTTGCAATCACTAACCAGATTAGATCAGTCGATCCACTATATATTGATAGCCTATCAAATATATCATTGAACCTCCTCGTTTCTGTCTTTTGATTTCACTTGGTGGGTACGATTCATATCAAAAGGTGTTACTGGTTAAAGCGTTGTCAAAATCCAAATACCTGTGGCATCTTCAGACGAATGGCTCTATACATTAAGAATACTACCCCATTTACCATTGTCAACGGTGTATTCCATGAGTGAGACGTGCGAATTAGTTGGTTGCCACTTGAAGTGCAAGGGACAAGAGGCGCAAATTGGTTTGTTTTAATGTAGTCCGAGCTGAAACGTAAGTAAAGTATTACTAGACGGTATCAATATGTGGTCACAAAGTGGTCGATGTCTAATCCCAGGAGACTTTAATGCATCCACCGGAAAATCTGAGGATTGAACTCCTTCGAAAAGGAACTAGTTAATGCGGTTATCACATGTGCCCTAGAGCAACACGTGTAAGAAGCGACTAGGTATGACCCGGATGCCGAATCATCTTCACTAGATTTTACATTAACCTATTATGGGGATGACATTACAAACCTCGATTACATGCTACCCTTAGGTAAAAGTGATCATGTAGTTCTAAGCTTCGACTTCCATATAGTTTACAATAACCACAATGTGTCAACCCGGATTATATCAATCGTCTGGATAACAAACATACAAGATGTTATATGGCATCGTCAGTAAATTAAACAATAGATCTAGAGTTCCCAATTGAAACAGTCTGAGTTGTACTTCGAAATTTGTACTTAAAAGTCACTGCACCACACATCCCTTGGGCTACACCAAGAGATTCAAGAAACTCCCCTCCATGGTTCAGTATGAAAATTCACGTCCTTCTTCATGAGAGGAAAAGGAGGTGAGAGAGACTTAGGTCACTGTGGAATGATGAGACAAATTTTCAATATCGAGAGGCTCGGAATACTTACACCTCGACCCTCCGTAAGTTTAGGTTGTACGAAGGAGAAACTGTTAAGGAATCTATAGAATGGCCTAAACGCTTGTATTCGTATACAAGCCAAGGGGCTGAATGAATAGGAAATATTCCCGCATTAAGGGAGACAGTAATGCCTCGTCATTAGTGGGGAACGACTATGGTAAAGCCTAGGTATTCTCAAACTACTTTAGCAATGTATATGCCGTAGAGAAACACCTCCCATCAGTTCGTACAAGGCATCCACACAAACACACACACTGGACACTGTGACCATTAAAGAACTCGATGTCTTTGGTTCGCTAAATAAGCTTAATATAGGCAAATCTATGGGACTCGATGAAATTCACCATTTGTCATTAAGGATACTGGGAAATTTCGACGTGAATCTCTTAAGTATATGTTTTAATCCATCGGTGACCCATGGTCGTTTGTCAAAAGACCAGAAGAACGTCATAGTATGTCCTGTCATTAAAATACATATGAAACATAAGCCTGAGAACTACCGATCTGTTAGCTTAGCCTTTGTGGTTATTGAAGTTTTGGAAAAGATCATTCATAAGGAGCTGTTTGATTATTTTGATGCAAACCAGATTCTTTCTGAAAAACAGTATGGATTGAGAACAAGTTATTCCCGTCTCACTATCCTAATATTGCCTCTTGAAATCTGGTGCGCTATTAAAGACCAAAATTTGCCTGTAGACGTAGCCTACCTTGACTTCAGCAAAGCGTTTGACAAAGATCCTGACAACGGGCTGTTATATAATTTAAATTTTCATTTATTTAGCCGAGTGCAGCAAAGGAATTTCGTATGTTATTTTGTTTTACTTCTAATCGGTGGTTTACTTTGTAGGTCGATATTCATAACATAATTATTATTATCATGGTTTACCCCTTTCACTAGGTGTTCATTTCTTTCCTCTATTTTTTTCCCATCTAAATAAATATTATTCTGAAGATTACGAAGTTTGTAATAAGGACAACAACTTGTGTTGCATTTAAATTAACTTCTCAGACTCGTTTGAGCTTCACTATGCATATATGACTCGTACATGTCGATATTTGGTTATCCTTTCACTTAATTGAGACTTTCATTGCACCACAGCAAGCTATAACTGCACAAACAAATATTCTAGCGTCATATCTTACTACAGTAATAAGTTATTTTTTCATAATTATTTTCTATTTTATGTTTGTTACTAATATGACGATACACACATGGTCGTTTATTCTTGTTCTGTGTTCATGAACACGCTTATTAAACTATTTGCGTATTTCACGTCTCCCTTATTTCTATTCCTTTATTTTCTTCCTTTCCTTCTTTAAACTCAGTCCAATACTCTTCTGAATTACACAGAACCCGATTTATTATTATTCTATTATTATTATTCTCTTTTTCAAATATGGCAAATATAATGCTATCATTATTGAAACTTGTGTATTATTGTATTTTTGAAGCAACCCGAAGTGGTTTCTTCACAACACTTATGTACCCATAAGATTTTTGTGAATAATAATAACAATAATTTATGAAAGTGACTAATACATTTTATAGCATCTTGAATACAGGTTAACTTATTATGCAGAAAAGAGATTTTGAAGTGGAAAAACCATGATCGATTTCTCATTCAAAATAATCTCTACAAACGACATCTGAAACTATTGTGTTATTGCGTTAAAAAGCATTCAGTCTGAGGATTAAGATTAAGGCCAAATCGGTTAGGATGAATTGGATCTTCAGCCACAAAGCCAAGCACCCATGGCTATCCCAACATAATGATCATTTACAGTCTTCAGTAAATTGTGCAATAAAATATGTTAGCACAGACATTACCTTAGTGTTTAAAATACTACCCGAGGTAATGGCTTCTAGTGACTTACTTTTATCACGAAAACACGATTGGTTTAATGAAAACAGTTATTACTATTATAACCAGTTGTACCAGTGACTGTTTTAATGTGCTCTTTGTTTAACTGTGCTAAAAACATCCATCATACTTACTTCGATTGTGACCTCACGCGAAATCGGTTACGCTCAGTTAAGTTAAAAGATTTCGATGTTGTAAGTGATTTACTAATGTTGGGCGCCAACAAATAATATTGATGAAGTCCATGTTGTTTATCTGTGAACCTCTGCCATGCGGATTGCCTCACGTACAGTTTTGGTGCCAGTGTTATTTGTGACCTTTCTTTCCTCCTATCATCGCCGGTCTTGTTATATTCTGAAGATGTCAAGGTATGGTGACTGATAAGACGTAAGGGTGATAGCTTAGAAATCTCAAATGACCTGGAGAAATTATCTGGACGGTATCAAACCTGGCCTTCGCCGATAAATACTTCCAGGT